TAGACAATCTACTCATTCTGGAGGTCTAGAGGCTCCTATGATCATCATACTACCGACTGACCCCCAATCTATCAACAAGATGTTTAAGTTTTGAATCAACTATTCAATGGATTATTTTGTGGCATTGTTCAGCCATAACTGTGCTGTTTCTTTGGAGATCTTTCATTCAGAATACTCTGACCCTCACAGGGGTCGACATTCCCAATCTTAATGGACCATTAAATTTGGGTCTCCACATTAAGAACTATATAAAAACCCATTTTTTCTTCACACCTCTGAAATTATAAAATCAAGTCTGCAAGATTTATTGCTAACAATATAAAAGGTTTCTATTGCCATAGGTGTTAGGTACATTAGTAGAGATGATATACATCTCTAAATAGCATTTGGTTGATGGCATTGTAAAATGTTTTACCGTGAAGAGAAGTTACTGGATGTAATAGAGACAGAATTCTGTATGAAAGACAAGAAAAGACAAACAATGCACATTGTTTGATGATATCTAAAATCTTTTATGAATCCAAATAGTATTTTTGTCTCTGCCACTGACTTCCTGTTTAACTTAGAGAAAAAAAAAATTATTGGGTGGAAAGGTCACCTAAATTATCCAGTGTTTGCAGTTGCATTCTGTTAAGTTCCAAAAGAATCTGATTGACTAAGGGATTGGAATGCCAGAAGATTAGGACATAAAAATAACAGATACTAAGGTAAAATTTTTAAAAGACTTTTAATGCATTGCCATTGCATAACTCATTCTAATATTTGGACATTACCTCTCGCTCTGACGTATTTGGGGGAAATAAAAGCAAAGATAGAAATGCATTCATTTACTAGTCTTTTAAAATTCCCCATCCAAATTTTCTAAGAGTACTTAGTTATTCCCAAGGAGTCAATCTTGCTTACAAATACCAGACAGAAAAAGAACCCATGTCTGACAATTCAGTTTTCATTGCTTCTACTCCTGCCATATGGTCTGATGAGTTTTTGTCCCTGATTGTCTCTCTCTCTCACCTGATAGGCCACATAACATGCTAGGGACTCACAGATCATATCTATTTAGCTCACATGCCTGACTTTAGACATTCTTTCCAAGTGTGCTATGCAGGGCTGGCTGGGCTAAAGAAGCTTCTAGCCTCAACCACAAGCTGGCTCTCCTCCAAAAAACTGTCAACACCAGAATCTTCCTTTTCTTCTTATGAATTTAATTTGGGGGTCCTCAATATACTTTACTTCCAATGACTCTGAATCCATTATTCCTAATGATAGTACTCAATCTCAAATGAGTCTCTCCTCTTCTTCTTCCTGGAAGATTTTTGGTTCTGAGAAATTTACTCATTTCCGTCCCCAAATTTAGCATTTTACACCAAGGGACTTTGAAAGATCCGTTTGCTTGAGGTCCTAAAGGACCTCACTAATCATACTCTAGGATAAGTAGCGCCTAGTAGACTTAATTTCATCCTTTTTTTTTGCATGGGAGGAGGTACTAGGGATTGAACTCAGGGCCACTCGACCAACTGAGCCACATCCCCAGCCCTATTTTGTATTTCATTTAGAGACAGTCTCACTGAGTTGCTCAGCACCTTGCTCATTTGCTGAGGCTGGCTTTGAACTCCCAATCCTCCTTCCTCAGCGTCCTGAGCCTCTGAGATTATAGGCTTGTGCCACTGTGCCCAGCCAACATCAAGCAGCTTAACAGCAGGAAGTTATAGAAAGTAAAGTAAAGCAATGAGCTAGAGGGTGAGACAGGTTATTTTTGATAGCACTGTCACAATTTAACATTGAATAAGGTGAGGAAATAAATATGTAGATTCTGAAGAAGATTACAGGAAAATACCACATGCAAAGCAATGGTGAGGACAAGAGGCTAGTGTGTCTGGAGCAAAATGATCATGGGGGAAGTAGCAGATGAAGTCAGAGAATAACTGGAGGTAAAAATGTAGAGTCCTGAAGGTCATGGTAAGAACCTGGGATTGAATTTTCTCAGAGATGAGAGGTATTTGTAAAACATGGAGGAGAAAATTATCACAATCTGATTTCTGTGTTATATAAGAAAAAATATTGTGGAAAGACAGAAATGTGGGGTTTTGGACAATGAGGTTAAGAGGAGAAAAAACGAACAATGGAATTAGTTGAGAAAATAACCCAATGACAATTTGACCATTTGATTTAACTTAATGGAAGT